AGAAATGCCTAAAAATGTAAATTTCACATTTTATTTATGGGTAAATTACATTTTCATACCTCAGGTTTGAGGTCTATTTCAATTCCTTACAACATCTTCAAAACATTTCACTTTCATACCTTACGTACTATTTTATTTCAAAATAATAAATCCGTTACATTTTCCATCTATGGATCCATTAAGTGCTTACGTAGCTGCCACATATATGCCACGTGGTTGCCAAATGTGTGCCACATGGCCAAAAAAAAATAATAATAATTTTTTTTTAAAACCTGAATTTTCTCAAAAAAAAAAAAAAAGGTAATAATTTTTTTTTTTTGAGAAAATTCAGGTTTTAAAAAAAAATTAATTTTTTTTTTTTTTGGCCATGTGGCACACATTTGGCAACCACGTGGCATATATGTGGCAGCTACGTAAGCACTTAATGGATCCATAGATGGAAAATGTAACGGATTTATTATTTTGAAATAAAATAGTACTTAAGGTATGAAAGTGAAATGTTTTGAAGATGTTGTAAGGAATTGAAATAGACCCCAAACCTGAGGTATGAAAATGTAATTTACCCATAAATAAAATGTGAAATTTACATTTTTAGGCATTTCTTAGTGGTTTACATCATGGTAATACCTATATGGAAGAATCAGACACTGTGAACTTAATTCTTACTGGCCTCCATATGTGCGTGTGATTTTTTAAATCACAGCGTGTTACAAGTGACTTTCATGTTTTAAATGTATTTATATGCTTAAATTGACAAAGGGAAAGTCAAATATTTGAATAAATGAATAATATTAGATTATGCTAGAAAAAAAATCTCTTATAAACCAATCAAAACAGCTGAATTCACATAATAAAATCGGTCTCTATTGAATTTACATTAAGAATATAGAAAATAAAATAGTACTTAAGGTATGAAAGTAAAATGTTTTGAAGATGTTGTAAGGAATTGAAATAGACCCCAAACCTGAGGTATGAAAGTCCTTTCTTTTTTCTTTTTCTTTTTTGAGAAAATTCAGGTTTTAAAAAAATTTAATTATTTTTTTTGCCATGTAGCACACATTTGGCAATCACGTGGCATATATATAGCAGCCACGTCAGCACTTAACGGATCCATGAATGGAAAATATAACGGATGTATTATTTTGAAATAAAATAGTACTTAAGGTATGAAAATGAAATGTTTTGAAGATGTTGTAAGGAATTGAAATATGCCCCAAACCTAAGGTATGAAAATGTAATTCACTCTTTATTTATATTTTACATTAAACAGCACACAATTGCATTTCTGATATTTCAGCCGAATTGAAGGGTATTTCGGTACAAAGGGGCCACTAGCGGCATCCCAAGGCTTTAGTGGGACCAGCTCCGTTCCTTTTTCTTTAAGCCGACTCTCTTTTGCTTTTCAAAGTTCTTTTATCTCAATTTTGTTCTCTAAATTTACCAATGTATGGTATGTTGGCCAAAATTACCAAAATATTCTTTTGCCTTATGAATGCAAAGTAAGCACGGTTTGTGAGGGAGAGATTTTTCGATATGATCAGAAACACATTGATTACACATACATCATTATATAATTAAAAAAATATTTTAAAAAAATACTTTTTTTAATTATGTAATTACATTTGACACAATCTCATGTTTTAGTCACATAAAAAATTGTCATTTGTGAGGTGTGAGAATACAATCTGCCACGTGTACATATAACACTGTGCACGTGTGATAGTGAGAACGAGGATCCCATGTTTTTGGGTAGGGTTCTTTTTTTTTTTCTTCAAATTATTATAACTAAAATTTATTTTTAATAAATATTTACAAGAAGAAAATACCTTAAGAGATTAGAGTGTTTAATTTGTAAACCAATAGCAAAACTTAGTTTAAATTTTCTTTCCACAACCAATAACAATATTGTTTTCTTTCAAATATCTTCATGTACATGTTCAATTACGACTATAAAATGTGTGTTGAAATTCCTCAAAAGTAAAATGAGAAGACTAATGTTGTGAGGTTAGGAGTTTCTTTAATAATCACACTCTGTCACTAACTAATCATATGATATAATAGTTCATAAATATGTATCAATTGCAAGAGTCATTTTTCAATATATCGGAAACACTGTCTGATATACCAAATGTAATAATATAATGGAGCATTTATATTTAGGTCCAAAAAATCAGCTACTTTTGCATTGAGTCCAGTTAGATGTTCTTACCAGTTTAGGTCTAAATTGATCTCATCTTATTCCCATTTTTCCCTTTATAGTAAAAATAAAAATATATTTAAATTTCCTAATTTATGCATTATTTACTCAAATTTGAATCTTCAAATTCCTTATTCTAGCCACAATTTAAGGAAAAAATTTAAAAGTAAGTTCATGTGTATGACTATAAACCCACGACTTAAGTTGAAATGAATGATATATAAAAAACCTATGAACAAAAACCTATGATATACGTAGACTATGAATAAAAACCTGTAATATAAGCAATGAACGAAAACCTATGGTATAGGTAGATAAATACTTTTAATTTGAATTAGAATATCAAGAACTAATGTGTGTGTGCACTATTAATCCGTGGTATAAGGTAGATAGAACAAAATAACCTATGATACATGTAGATAAACACAATTAACTTGAGATAGATTATCAATAATGTGTGATAGGTAGATAATACAATTTATCCATGACACAAGTAGTATAAAACACACAGAGGTAGACTAGAAAAATAATGTGATATATATTCCAATAAGATCCATAGAAAATGATGAATAAAAAGATGATGCTGAGGGAGTAAAACACGAAGAGGAAAGAAAGAGTTTTAGAATAGAAAAAAAAATTAATAATATATTAATTACTTAATTAGTCAATTTAGGGATAAATTTGGCAGGAGAATAAAAATAAGCGGATGTGTACAATGAGCCATTGGACCTAAGTCAATAATCAAACAAAATTGGACTATACCTCATAAAGGCTCACAAAATTGAACTCATATCAAATTTTCCCTAATATAATTGATTGAAAATTTAAAAAATGCAGGCACCAACCAATTGTATTATCTAAAGTGTCAAATAACATATTTGAACCAAAAAAGAAAGCCAATAACCATCTTCCTATCTAATAATGTGAATATTAATCTAGTTTCATAAAATTTTAGTTTTCTGTAATTTTATCTTATTTTATTTTTTTATAAAATGAGATTAACCGGCGACTTCATTTTTGTAATTTCATGTTCAGTTTGGCGTTTTTGTTTTATCTTAAGGATGTTGTGCAACAACTTGGTACAACAATTTGATTTCAAATATCCAGAAAGTTTTAACTGGATCAAATGGGAACCCAAAACAATAATTTCAAAATACAACAACTTGATCTGGTGACCTGTCATCGCTCAGAAATACAACAAAAATCGAAAATGGCATATCCGGAATTTAAGCAAGCATGGAGGGCAAAGTTATAGTGCTGTCATATTCTATGCCCATTGGCTTGTTCCCCCCTTTTTCTTTTTCTTTTTCGAGTCCTCCCAACCTCGAACTTTAAGTTTTGTTTTTTTATGTTTTTTCTTTTTCTTCTCACTTGGTTTTTGACCGTTACTTTTGCCCAACGTCTCTCTCTGCTTCTCTCTCTCCCTATCTCCCTCCCTCTCTCTCTCTCTTTCTCTCTCTCTCTCTCTCACATTCATCAGTGATCACAGCTCCTGTTCTTATTCCAGCCCGCAATCCCAGGTAATGCTTCTCAACTGCAATCCATTCCACCAATTAATTTGTATTATTTTCTTTCTGTTTGTTGTAATTATTTGTTAAAAAAAAAAAAATCAGCCAATTAGGCTCCTTTTTTTTCCTGAGTTTTATTTCTTCTTTGCTATTGGAAGCTCTTTTTGTTTTATCAGTAATTTTCAGCTCTAGTTTAAAAAAAAAAAAAATAAATCAATATATGAAATGGGTTTTTCTTTTTGCATCTGTGTGTTGAGTTAGGCTTGAATCTTCACCATATTACAAATAAAAACCTGTGAAATTTTCAGTTTTCCAGTTTTTTAAATGGGTGATCTGGTTTTCTGTTCATACGAGATTTTGGTGAGCACTTAAGCTATACACATTACTTGAAGCAGGAAAGAAATACTGTAATTGGTTTCTCGTGTTTATGTCAGTATTACTTTTGATCTCTTCATAAATCATAAATGTTTTAAACTGCTTTATTATTTTCCAAAAAAATGATTATAGCTCGTCTTCTTTGTTCATGAATATTAGCTATTTAATTTTGTTTTCAAATTTTGAAATTTCTGTTTATCCTTTTTTTTTTACCCAATTAGATCTCTGTTTATTATATCTGAATAATTGCAATTTTTCTTTAGAAGAAAATAAAAGGAAAATGAGAAAAAAAAAAAAAAAAAAAAAAAGAAGAGAGGATGGTTTTTCCTATTGTAATCTCTCCTTTTTAGAATATGTTCTATTGCAAATTTCAATAGTAAAATGATTTTAGCGCAGTATTTTTTTTTCACACCTTATATATTATTTTTATCACTTTATTCTCGTTTGATTTGCTCGAATCTAAAACTCAGAAATTACTCGAGTTAGTGTACGAATATTATATCGCTTTTATTAGTCGACTTTAGACCTTTATCTTCTTTTGCGGTACCCGTCTCTTATTTGACAACCCATTATTTTTCTATCATTGTTTAATATGCTTTTTGCAAAGCTTCCTTCGATTCTTTTCTTTCAAATTTGCAAAACAAAAAAAAAAATTAAGATATGAAATTTTTATCCCATTAATTTTATGCAACAATTATAAAAGATAAATCTCTCTTTTCATGTTATGGTAGGAGGTTCTTTAATAAGGTGTGCGTTCTCACACATCCCTTATTAATTTATATACTTTAATTTTTTTTAATTCATTCGATCCGACTGTCAAAAATTAAAAAAGTGTGTGAGAAGTAAAAATGAATGGGTAAATATCACACTCCTCTTTAATTTGCCAGTTGTTTCCTCCTTTTTCCCTCCTTTTTCTTATATGCTCTGTTCCCTCCTTTTTCTTATAATATTTTTCACGCTTGGTAAAACTCGGTAGAACAGTTTAGATGTGCTGATGGTTTCTTTGTGACTGAAAATGTAGATATAAAGAAAAGTATTCAGACCTTTTTTTCAAGTATTTTTTTATTCTGTAGAGCAAATTAGATATCTGAAAATGTAGTTATTTACAAATTAAAATTTGATTTCTCTGCAGATTCTTTCCTGTTGTCGTTCGTTTCTCGCTTTTACATGTTATAATTCTTCATGTTGGAGTAAATATCCTTATGAATCTGGCCAGAAGTACAGGCGACTATCCTCGTGATTTCGGTTTTGATTCTAGCCTGAAAAATTCATAGGGTGAAAGAAGTAGGTAAGAAGGAAGCAAGAGATGGGATGTTCTACATCAAAGCTAGATGATGAAGAAGCAGTTCAGCTTTGTAAAGATCGAAAGAGATTTATTAAACAGGCTCTTGAGCAAAGAACACGATTCGCCTCTGGACACATGGCGTATATTCAGTCCTTAAAAAGAGTTTCAGCTGCTCTTCGTGATTATATCGAAGGCGATGAGCCTCGTGAGTTCTTATTAGATTCCTTCGTAACCCCACCTTTCACACCTGTTAAGAAAGCAAATCCTGGTTTTATCTCAATTTCCCCAAAATCCTTCTCCCCTGCAACAATCCAGTCCGAACCCCGTTCATGTGTGAAAATATGTTATCTAAGATCAGGAGGGAATCCAGCAGTTTCAGTAGAAGAGAGACCCCAATCCCCCGAAACAGGCAGAGTTGAAGCTTACTCTCCAATGCACCATTATGGGATGGACGGGTTTTTTGGAATGCAATCTTCAGCGATGAATTCTTCGTCATTGTTCTCTTGTTCTCCTAACAATAGGCCAAACATCCCTCCACCTTCGCCTCAAAATTCTCAGTGGGAATTTTTCTGGAACCCGTTTTCATCACTAGATTACTATAGTTATCCCACTCGAAATAGTCTTGATCAGACAGTCATGGATGATGAGGTTAGAGGACTAAGGCAGGTCAGAGAAGAAGAGGGGATCCCTGACTTGGAAGAAGTTGAAACCGAACAGGAGGAGGAATGCGATCATGAGGAAAATTTGCCACAAGAAAGGGATAAAGTTGATCTAAACTGCAATAGAGAAGAAGTTATTGTTGAAGATGTTGAGGAGGAGGAGGAGGAAGAAGAGGAGGATGAGGAAACGGATGGCGGAATAGAGATTGAGCATGAAGTACAAATGCCATCACATAATAGTGTGACTATGGAGGTGTCACGATCTCAGACTGCTAGACAAGTTACAACTAATAGCCAAGAAAGAGCCGTTGGTCTCCGGGAGGGTAAGGAAGAAAAACCGGGCTTTACTGTTTATGTGAACCGAAGGCCAACAAGTATGGCAGAAGTTATCAAGGATTTAGAAACTCAGTTCACAATTGTTTGCAATGCCGCCAATGAGGTATCAGCATTGTTAGAGGCGAGCAAAGAGCAGTACTCTTCATCTTCCAATGAACTCTCAGGTTTGCTTGCTTACTTGGTTCATGAATGCTTATTCTGCAGTAGAAAACATTTTGGTTTTTGTATTTTATTTAAACTTTCAGGCTGTTATATAGTAAGTACTTTGTTGTTGCAGCCATGAAAATGTTGAACCCAGTAGCATTATTTCGTTCAGCTTCTTCTCGCTCAGCCTCGTCCAGATTTTTAATGAATTCTTCGTGCGCTAAAGATGAAAGTTATGAAAGCAGTAGTGATGTCTCTGAAGAGACCTGCATGTTTTCGGGTAGCCACCAATCAACATTAGACAGATTATATGCTTGGGAGAAGAAACTCTACGAGGAAGTCAAGGTATTACTTCTAAATGGCACCAATTTCTGTTGCAAAATACTTGATCTACCAAATAGTTTAAATATTTAAAAGAGATTAAAAGAAAATCATGAAGAACTGACATGTGCATCATTACTTAAAACAGTCCGGAGAAAAAGTTCGGATTGCATACGAAAAGAAAGTGACGCAACTGCGGAACCAAGATGTAAAAGGAGATGACCATTCTGCGGTAGAAAAAACAAGGGTAGCAATTAGAGATCTGCATACTCAGATGAAGGTTTCAATACACACAGTTGAAGCTATTTCAAAGAGGATTGAAACCTTAAGGGATGCAGAATTGCAGCCTCAAATCTCAGAATTGGTGAAAGGGTATATCCCACGCAGCTTTTATAAATCGTTTGCTCAAATATGTACTCCATGCTTCATGTAATTATTCTTCTGTATTAATCAATTGATTAACAAAACCAGGTTAGCAAGGATGTGGAAAGTAATGGCAGAGTGTCATAAGTCGCAGAAACGAAGCCTAGATGAAGCCAAGATTTTACTAGCAGGCACGCCGTCAAAACTGGAAGCTAAACGACAGTCTTCCATTTCAGCTGCTGATCCAAACCAGCTAGCACGTTCAGCAGCCAGTCTTGAGACAGAGCTGAGGAACTGGAGATCCTATTTCGAGGCATGGATCACTTCTCAACGATCCTACGTGCACGCATTAACAGGTTGGCTCCTCCGTTGCATGAGGGCTGATCCCGACACATCAAAGTTCCCATTCTCTCCTCGCCGTTCCAGTGGGGCTCTTCCAATATTTGGAATTTGCATCCAATGGTCAAGACTTCTGGATTCCGTACAGGAGACACCGGTGCTGGATGGACTAGATTTCTTTGCTGCTGGTATGGGGTCCCTATACGCACAACAGCTTAGAGAGGATTCACACCGAGTTAGAGCAGGTTCAAGAAGATTCGGAGGTGGATCAGCAGAGGAGTTCAGCGGGGGTATGGAAATGGTGGAAGCTGGCGAAGTGGAACAAGTAATGACTGCAGACAAAAAGGCTGAGGTCGCGATAAGAGTACTTTGTGCCGGAATGTCAGTTACGATGAGCTCACTGACAGAGTTTGCTTTCGCTTCGGCTGAGGGATATGCTGAGCTTGTGAATCAATGGGACAAGGCCAAGGCTGGAGCTGCTGCAATATTATGACGTGGTGTTCATGTTTATGGGGTAGTTTAGTGATGGCTGTCAATATAATTATAAAAATTAATCTAATATCTATGAATATTAGCAATTTAGCATAGAGATTTTGCACCCTAATTGCTTTTAGCTAGTGCCTGATATAGTTATAAACAATGTTTAAAATATTGGTATCGGTAGAAAGGTTGATATGCAGATTTGTGGAAATATCAACAGATATATCGAATATTGATATCGATATTGGTTGCTTCTAACGGAAATTATGGAAATTTAAAATGAAACTTTAGGGATTATCAAACATTGTTTTGGATGAAATATAAGAATTTCTCTGATATTTAAAAGTAGTGTTAGAAATATCGACGATATTTGTCGATTTTTAGCCTAAAAGAGTTTCTATGATATGAGGTGAAGTTTAGACTTCACCACCCATTTCCATATCTTTCTCTAATTTTTGGATATTTCCATGAAAATATCCACCGTATCGAATAAATTTTAAACATTGGCTGTAATATCACTGATGTGACAACCCGTCCCTAATTTTACGTTTTTATTGATTTTAATGAGTGATTAACGAAAATGTCCCTAGAGGTAAGAATGTTGACTTTCATTGACTAGCGTATTGGGAGACGTATGAAACATTCTTTTAGCATATCCTAGTAGTGCTCGTCACTATGAACCCGTAGTCTCAAGCGGAAATGAATTTGGAGTTACAATGAAGATTTTACAGAACTACAAAACTTAAGGGTGTGTTATGAAATTTGAATTTTGAGTATTTTCTTATTTTAATATTTTCTGAGTGGATATTTTAAATATTTTATCATTTTTCTAGCTCGTGGGGCCCACACCCACACAAGCTCTCCACCCTTTTCTCGCCACATGTCCCTTCTCCCTCACATCACACTCTCGGACTCTTTCTCTCTCTTCTCTCAGTCTTCTCCCATGTCTCTCTCTAACTCTCTCCTCCCACTACATCAGCTGCGTCAAGAACCACACCCAACTAGGCGAGCCCTCAGGCCATGGAACCACCATTTCTTTACCAGACCACCCCTCTCTGTCTCTCGTCCTACATCTCTCCCCCTCATTTGTGTCTCGTGTTCCACCTCTACAACAACACCAACACCAGACCACCACATTTTGATGTCGTCTCCAGCAAGCACCGCAACCCCCAGACTCCCTTAGTCGCGATCTCCTACCGGCAGAAACCTCTTTCTCCTTCTTCCTCACTTTGCACAGTGACACCATTACTGTTTATATTTTCTCCGACGTGATCTTAACTTCCAATGATGGTAAGTTCCAAAAACCACCCAAATCTTCATGGATCATGTTTTACTTTACGTTTCTAGTGCTCTTAAGGATTTTGGGTGACATTTGAACGCAGAGCTACCTCGGGGAGTCTTCCCCAGTTTTCCGGTGATATATGACATGTGTTGCAGACCTTTTCAGGCCAACTCCGACCACGGGTGACTCGGGGGGAAGGTATAATCCTAAACTACACTCGCTTATCTTCATTTTGGTAGGAAGAGGGTGAAAAATGGTTGAGTTTTGAGCTCGTATGGAGCTCGGGAATTTTTGCTCAGAATTCGGCAACCTGCCAAAAAAGAAGAGAAGAAGAAAAAAAAAATTCCTTAAGCCCAGAACCCAAGCCCAGATCCGTGGGCCAGATCTAGCCCAAACCCATTTCTGAGTTGGATCGGGAATATTCTTAGGAATATTCTTTGGAATATTCTTTATGTTGGCTTTTTCGGAAACCCTCCTAAGCTAATTTTGATGTCCCGAGTTCGTTTTTGACATCCATTTAGTGAAATTACAAAGTTTTAACGTAGTTGTCCACCGGGGCGTCTCGGTTGACTTTTAGGGTTAACCATTGACTTTTTGTAAAATATGTTGGGGACCCTCCATAGTGTATTTCAACGCCCTGATTTCAAATCCGCACTCCATTTTCCCAAATTTAATTGTTTTAGTGGAGTTTTACTAATGGGTCCTAATATTATGCTTAGGTGCGATTATTATTGGTGACTTCGACTATTCTAGTTCGAACGGGTTAGACTTGACGACATAATCTATGAGTGGGTGTTTTCTTTATATATATAATGGTTAGTTTCCATATATACAATCATTAATAAATTCTCTATGCGATTGTCATGATTAAATTAACGTTTATAAGAAATACCTTAATGTTGGGAAATGATTAAATAATCTTACGGGATGCACAAGTAAGCTTACCATAAGGGGATGCCTTGATTATATTTATGGTCATGAATAGTATGATATTGACTAGAATTGTTGAATGGTTGTGACATGACTATATTTATGGTATTTGCTCATCGTTTGCTGCACTGGTGCTGGTACTCGCCTAAGCCAGGGCCAGTCTTTCACGTGTATGTGCACATCGCACCATTCACTCACTTTAGATCCATTGTAGGTGCCAGTCATGTCGTACAGGTTGCCTTAGGTAACTCCGACTCTTATGTGCAACACATAGCGCCAGTCTTCATGTGATTGTAGTACTAGAGCGTATATCATTATTAAACCTAGTCCTGTTCATGTCAGAATATCTCTGCATGAACTCGTGTGTCAGCATGTGTAGATGACCACTTGATATGACATGTTTGTTTATGCAAGATTATACGATATTGGCTGTTGTGTGTTTATTTACTCAATATTGCAACGTATGGCATTCTGTGATTTTGCAGGCTATGGTAAGGATTTTTATACTATACATAGTATGTATATTTTGGAAACTATACTTGTTTTACGACAATGGGTTATAATGTTTTTTTAAAAAGGTTTTTATAAAACTTGATTTTTAAGCCCACTCACCCTTGTTTTTCACCCCTCTAGGTTTTAGTAGCTGAGTTTACGTATCGACGAGGATTCTTGGCAAATCTCAGTATAGGAGGCTACCTTTGATGATATAATCCTTATTTTACCTTATTGTACTTTACTTATGCTTTGTCATCACATGTGAAATGGGTTCATTCCCGCTCACAAGAGCACTCTTGTATTTAGGCACTTTAAGTTTAAATTTATTCACATTTTCCACATCACTACACCTTATGGCTTCATCACCTTCCAGGTATCGGCCAGCACAACTCGATTCAGAATCCTAGTGGACATTCCGGGTCAGAGTGTGTCAGCTGATGGGTATAATTAATCTAATTACAGCCCTTTTGTCACTGGGAAAGTAAATCTGCACTAATCATTTTGGTAACAAAAGGTTGTCAAAACCATGCCTGGTGAACTTATAAACCCCCACAAGTGGGCCTCTACCATAGTGGTGGAGAGAAGTGTTGCCCTTGCATCACGGTTTGGGTTCGAACCTTGTCAACTCTTTAATCTAACATATAATCTAACAAATATATCGTTTGACTAAAATAAAAAATAAAAATAAAAACTTATAAACCTCACAAATCGTATGAGGTCTTGTCATCGAGTCTTCCCTGCACCGTAACCCAATCGTGTCTTCTTCGAAAATAATCATACGCCGGAATAACCACCATTGAACAACAAATCCAAGTGCTGCCTTTTTTTCGTTTAGAACCTGGACTGTAGTAAACGTAGCAAAATACTAATTCATTTGGACAACAAGATTCCTTGTAAAATCAACCAAGGCAGTCCAAACTACTCCGATGCAGTTCCCGATCAACATGGCTCGGCGAGGCACCAAAACGTTCAAAACCCTAATCCAGGTGCTCGAACATCGGCTAGAAGTCAACCAAATGCATCCTAGCAGCTACATGATCCCTGTCAAAACACACCCACCTGATGGATTCCAGAATTCAGTCTTACTGTATATGTGACATTGTAACTTTCTTTCTAAGAAATCAACAAAGAACTTCCACAGAACAAAAACAAAGCGCACGAGGGCAAAAAACATAAAAGTATGAAATTGCATCACAGTTAAACCCTTCTCACCAATTCATATCCAATGAAATTTACAAATTGTCAGCACTGCTTCAAAAGTCGAACATTGGAATCCTGCAGGTGAAGAATACCTCCAATTCTAGGTTTATAACTTCAACTTTCCAGCAAATCATATCATGTATTTATACACGAGCTTATTTTCCCAAAATTTCAACGTCATACTACAAAATTGAAAGAACGGGATTACAGAAATTCTCTCTCTGTCGTCAGGCTGCTAATCCTAGCTGGTTTTCATGTAAAAAATGCTGGTGCGAAGAACACAACTATTCATACCCATCATCATCAACCTCGACGTCAGCCTCATCAACTCGACTTAGGAGAGTGACGAAAAGTACAACCGAAACCAGCTGTGCTGTTAAAAAATATCTGGCCCTTCTCTTAAAACTTTTCTCCTCCTTTGTCTCTTCCCTTTTGGGTTTACTCTTGGGCTTAGAACCTGATAACAAATAAGCATAAGAAAAATTGCATTTGACAGAATTAAGTTGCGACCTAGGTGACCCTGATACAAATATCATAGATAGAACCAATATGATTAAATAAAACTTCTATCCCATGAATGCCGTATATACAAATAGGTCGCCGTATCTATACAACTGGAAAACTTGCATGTTAAAGTCCACATGCAAAGTGGATACTAGCTCATCAAAAACCTACAACCTACCTCTTTCAGATGATTTATATCACCCATGTCCCTATTAGTCAGCGCATTAGTTATGCTAGAAAGCGGGAAGTATCACATGATCTCAGATTCCGAGCTGCAAAACGCAGCTTCCACTTCAAGAGAGGCCTAATGTGCAACTTGCTCAAGTTTCTAACTGTTAACACTCTGAAGTAAAATACTATGTTTTCTAAAGCAAAAATATGGTGTTGGAAACTGCATGTGTGCAAGCCAAATCTACTCTTGAATTTTCCATGATAAGAACAGAGGTTCACTAAAGAAAAAGAAAATGGAGCAAAAAATGATCCGGTTTGGTAGAGGCAATAAATCCTTTAAATTATAGCATGGAAAAAGATAAATAGAGAGACACAAGCCTTGAATGTAAAAGTATCTCACTCGAGTTTGAAGGACCTCTTCTAGGAGCTGCTGATGAAGAGTTTCTATGAAAGTTTGGAACCGAAGATGGTGAACCTGAGTCCACGAACTCCACCTTAAGCCTATCAGCATACTTAACAAGGTTTTCATGTTCTAAAAGCTTGCTCTGCAGTACCGATGTTTCCTAAAAGCACAAAGTGTCAGGAATCATGACCAAATACTCCACAAAACTAATAAGATTGAACAAAATCTACTGTACAACTTGGTGTTGCCCATAGGCCAAGTTCATTCATTGGAACCAATTATAGTTATGAATAAATTAATTACACAAGTTTAGTCATCTGTACAAAGATCAAATTCCTACTAACTCGTGAGTATAATAATTGATTATCTAAGATTGAAATACCAAAAAGATTGATAAAGAAATGATTGTATTAAGAGCCGATCATAGGTCACATGGAAACTAGGCTAATGCACGATAAAAAGTAAGGAGGCAAGTTTAATGCGAGGCAATAAAAGAAAATAAAATAATATATAAACTGGGCTACGAACATTGAAGGCATGATACTTGAAACTAGAGGTAACTAAATAATGTAATGCTCATAATTCCATTGAGAGAGAGAGAGCGAGAGAGAGAGAGTATAATGCCATTAGGAAATCTGAAGGGCCAAGGGGAGATCACGCATAATCCCATTTGAGTGATGAACACAAAGATAAAATTGGGAAGCTAAAATGAAAATCTACGAAAGTGGTTCCAAGACTTCACTAACTCAAAAATTAAATCCCATGGTCTAATTCTGTGACCAAAACACTGACTTCTGAGCAATGTATTAAAAGGCGGGGGCGTGGCAGAGGCGTCCAATGGATAGCCCAGCCTAGGCGCAAGGCGCGAGGCGTGAGGCATGAGGCGTGAGGCTTCGAACCTAAAATTTTAATATATATTATATACATAAGTATATTTATAACAATTTAATACTTTGTAAAAACAAATATAACTATAACTAAATCAAAGATAATATCATCTTCTTTATTACTAAGTCTAGTTGTACTTGGAAACTGTCATATAGTCTCAAAATGTTAAAATTATTTATTTTATTGTAAGCAATTATAGAGAACTTCAAGGAAAATAAGGATGAATGGTCACGATTATAGGAAAATTTCAAGCAAAATAAAGGCTGAATGTTGCAATTATAAGTAATTTAAAAGGAAATAAAGGCTGAGTGTAGTAATTATAGGGTATTTAAAATGAGATAAAGCAATAATTATGGGAATTTAAAGGAAAATAAAGGGTTGAGTGGAGTATATATAGGGTATTTAAAATGAAATAAAGGCTGAGTGGAGCAATTATTATGGAAATTTATGGGATTTGGAGAGAGAAGGTCTCTCCTTCTTCTTCGTTGAAACTAGAATGGCAGAAAACATTTCAGAAAACCTGGATTTTGAAGGAAAAAAACGCCCAGAACGCCCTGAATGCCCTGAGGTGCGCCTCCGCCGCCCATACGCGATCCGGCGAAGCCTTCCGCCCACTCCCTCAAAACAGAGGCGGGAACATTGATGCCCAGCCTCAGAGGCCGCCTAGGCAAGCCTTTTAAAATACTGCTTCTGAGAGAGGTCAGAACAAGTATCATTCTTTAGTTGTTCAAACTTTTAACTTTGATAGAAATGAGTCTTATGCCAGCTGAAACTGGGTTATTTATGGGGTCCGAATTTTGTGCACAAAACACTGACATCTGAGCGTAAATTCAGAACAGTATCGTTTCTTTTGGTTTTAATTTATCATTTTGGTGGAAAAGGTAGTCTTCTGCAACTGAAATTGTCATTTATAAGTGTAGTACCTCTTCCTAAGCTCAAATTCAGTCAGAGTTCCAGACCAGATGCAAAAGTGTATATATCAAAGCCGATTTTCCCATTTTGATAGCTGAGAGTGCAACTTGAAATCCAAGTCGTTCAGACCAAAATTTTAATCTCACAGACCCAAAATAGAGTCGAAGAATTCTGCTTCCTATTGAATTATACATATTGTACTGTATGTTTATTCTATGTATGGGTTTTTATCACAAAGGTCCTTGATGTTTGGAAAATCATAATTTTCATTCACTGTGTTTCAATTCAATCGATTTGATCCTCCATGTTTGTTCACACACATCAGTTTGGTCCTTTTGTCCAAATTCGTTTAAAGTTACAATTGTGTGATGTGGCACACATTCAACCCGAAACACACCCCCCCCCCCCCCCCACTCTCCCTCTCTAAAAAATGGAAAGAAGAAGTTGTACAGAAGATGTGCCTCAATTGATTCAACCACCAATTTATTGTATCAGTATGAAAACAATTAAGGTGGTTCTGTTTGGGTTGTAGAGAGGAGAGAAAGTTTAGAGACAAAGAGGTAGCATTTGTGCCTTGCACAGACTGTTTTTTTTTGTCGGTCTTGCACAGATAACTGGGAAAATCTCAGGTGACAGAGGTCTGGAGATTGGGGAAATGTATAGTTGGATTTTCGGTGGGTGGGTGGGGGAGTGTAGTGAGGTGGTTTGTGCGTTCAGAGTTGGGGGCCGATGGTGGATGAAGTTTTGAGTTTTGGCCCTTTTGGGTTGGTGTTTATTAATTTACCTTTTCATTTCATTTTTTTAGTTTTTCTTTATGGTTTGAAAATCTTTAAGCTATTTTTACAAATTGATATTTTTTTAATCCACATGGCAACACTGAAGTGTAGTTATGAGTCCCATACATGTGCCATGTCAGCACATTAATAGAGTTTTCAACGGATTTGGATGGCAAGGACCAAACTGATGTGTGGGAGCAAACGTTAAGGACCAAATTGATCAAATATTGAAGCATAAAGGACGAAATTATGATTTCCAAAACATCAAGGACCATTTGGGATACCCTTCTTTATATTGCGAAAAAAAAAAAAGTTCATAGAAGTGATGGTGGCAGTTAGAAGCATAATGTTCACTTCTATGGAAGTATATTTCTCTTAGAATTAACGCTAGGGGCACTAAAATTTACACAAGGTTCTGTAAGCTCAATAAAGTTTTAATGCTAAAAGTAATTAAGGGACGGATAAAGACAATGGTGCTGGTCTTAATTTTCTACATCAGAATACCATTCCAAATTAAAATTGGCATGCGTTTTCTATCTCTTTCATCTCCCATTCAAGCAAATAATGTTATCTGAATTCATGCAGAATACCAATATACAAGATAAGCTCAAGATTCAAGTTGGAATCTCAACTTCTTAATAGATTTAAACTATATAGTTGAGCTATAGAACGCAAATGTTGTTTAATTGCTAATATAAACTTTTCTAATCAGTCTGCCTATAAATACAATGACTTACTGGCAATGCTTGAAGAGTGATAAGTGCCTGCCCAAGAAAGACTGCGTCCAAACTTGATGGCCTGCATAAAAGGAACAATGCATGTAGATACATAATCAGCATGATACTATTAATTGCCACTTTGCGTGTAAAAAAAATACTAGTACTAAAGAAAGGAAGTTAAATAATAACAAGCAGTTCCCATGATTTCATGTAAAAGGAAATAGGTACCTAGAATAGGATAGAAAATCACCTGTCTTCAAATAAAAACTTTTTTTCCTCCAACCGACGTGACAGAGCTCCAAAAGCAAGGCTGGCTCTCCTGTATATCTGTCCATCAATTTGTCAAATCAATAAACCAAATGATTTGAATAATAATCAAACAAGACAGCACTTATTACTTAGCACAAAGTAGTAGGGTCAGTGAGAAAAAAGTACATGTTCTTCTACTTTCTCAGCGCTGTCATTAGTAATCCCAAGTTGCTGCTTTACAGTGTAAAATTTCTTATAGAATAGAATCTTTCCAATTGGCCATGGGAGATCAGAATAATATATCTCTTTGGCAGAACAACCATCAGTTCCCACCCAGAGTTCATACGTAAGGGCATCAGAAATCCAGGAGCTGATCATTGCCTTTGTAGATATCCATTCTGGGATTGTGTGAAATTCAGTGTCCAAATCAGCAATGCGATCTTCTTTTAGTCTTTCGATAATGCCACCCTTCTCGTTATTATAGATCACATACTCGCCAGATTCAATGTAAGGGATTTTGTCTACACAAAAGCCACAACCGATACCATGATTTTCATCTTATTGATATATATGTGCACACTGCACGCTTACATGCATACTAAAATATAAATGCGAAACAATAAACCAACAGAAGTGCAACCATAGAAACTAGACTCATTCTTATATTAGTTCAAATATATTCTGCAAGTGAAAAAAGAAACAGTTGCCAATGTCAAGGCTCCGGCACAAACACAGTGGCAATTGCTCTGGCCATGTTTGTCCAGTTACATAAGATATACCTTAACTATACAAAGAAGCCCATTTAAATACATACCAAACACACAAATCCTATATATGTTTAGCTACGTATATATCCCAATTGTACACATAACAAGCACCATTCACAGAACCAACGATACACCCAAAAAAGTTGGAGAGGGACTTGTAGCATGGGTACACAGCCACCGTGGCGACCCGTGCCAATGATATAATGACGTGTAAGATTCTGTCCACCCGTCATTGAATTGTTAGCACAGGATGCCTACAGTGGCGGTGTACCCTTACCACGTAAGGTACTCTCCTACAGTTGCCAATATAATACAAAACTACTTGAATAAAAAAGAAGTTGGTAATTAAGAACACATTCAAGTAGCAAGCTATTCCTCTTCACTTGTATGTAAGAAGTCTTACGTTCAATTCTTACCAAAGGCGAATTTGAGTCACATTATTGCTAGTTTATTGTGAGGTTTAGCGTAGATAATATAGTTCAAAAAATAAACAATGTAACAAATCCAAAACCCATATGCCATGGAAGTTGGAACAATCAACTCATTGCATGTAAAAATAAAGCCCCAATTCAAAAAATTAGCAGCAACGAATTTCAGACCACCAAACCTGCCAAACCCTCCCAAAAAGAATAAAATCAAATTAAATTAAATATTTGCAGGGAAGGGAAAGATTTGATTACCAGAGTCGGGGTAGGTAAGATTGAAATCTAAGCGGAAGGGAACTTTGGCAAATTTGAGGTAAAAGTAGACTGTCAAGCATGAGGGGCATGCAGTGGGCAAGCCGAAGCAGGACTTTCTCGCGACGAGGGTGTAATCTTCCATATAACCTGTAAAACCCAGTCAGATGCTGCCTTTCTGAATTCAAATCCACAAGCAAGCAGGTTAGGGTTTTTTTTTCTTGTCAATGGCGGGTGTTGCAGAATAACAGTGAGAGAGAGAGAGGGAGAGAGAGAGGTTCTTGCCTCGTGGTTCTGGGAAATTGGGTGTTTCCGCAAATGGGTCGCGGAGTATTAAATGGGCCGGATCCGAGTCAAGGCCCAACTACCAAAAGGCCTAGGGCATTCACTTCAATTTTTCGTTCAAACTACTGTATCCGCTGAGCCGCTACATGCCGAAACCCTAAACCCTTGGATCGGAACGATTCATTTCACTGGTGTCTTCTCTGTCTAATTCCCCCAATCATTATCGACTTTCGGTGACCTCTGCAACTTGACTTCGAGAAGTCATTTTCATGACTGGAAACACGAGATTCTAATAGAATGTCGTCGGGATTTGCACCTTGAAACATGACAAGTAATTTCGGCATCTCTTGGGCTCCTTACAATATATTACCTTAACTAGTCCAAAAATTGCATTTGTTGCTTTGTTTATGTCTCGTCCAACAAACACTCATCTTAGTACTAGTGGCGGATTCAGGAATATTATTGTGGGTCAGTACAAATAGCGCAACATGCAAAATCTTTTGGACAGTTGAGCATGCAAATTGGTATTTAATCAAGTCTTGGTAGCCCTGAGGTTATTTGTCAAGTCATATTGCATGTATGTCGCCAGATGCTAATAGGTTCCGAGCGAGCATGTCGACTTATGTCAATAGTTTTTGAATGATCATACCTACAGATGTCAACATATGCCAACTGAACATATCGACAAGATGCCCATAGAAATGTATACAAAGGCATGAGGCTAGCAACTACCCTACCTAGTGCCCCTAGAGTCAATTCGTGGAGTAGTTGGAAAGCATCTTTTAAAGGCATCTTAGATTTTCAAAGGGTTGCACCCAGCTCTTCCATTGAGGAATTCCGAGCTTAGGGTGTTGATAGGATACTAAGAATGGTTATCCAAATTAATGTGGATGTGTATATCTCTACTAGCTCAAGGGACCCTTGTTAGATGTTTGACACTTGTTATTAGATTAGAAGATTAGTTGTAGTGGTTATTGTTGTGGAATCTTAGCTTGCAAGACTAAGATGGATATATATCAAACTAATTGTGCAAGGCAAAATATTGCAGATATCGAAATTTTGATGAAGTAAATGTTCACCAATAGATTAAAGTTTCGATATATCATGGCTTATGTGGCATGCGCCATGTGTCTCACAAATCGTATACATGGATGTGACTCATCCATATCGGACGAGTCATCAAGAAATAAACGTGTCAACACTTGGCGGAAATGAATTATTTGATTTTAATTTAATTGAATCAAATATTAATTGATGGAGTTAAATCACGAACCAAGCCACATATCGAGTCCCGGTTCTTTCGTCAATTAATCAAGCCCCACAATGAAGGTCAAATCTATCCATAGGCAAGGCTTAGAAAGTCCATAAATACGAGGCTCCAAGACAGAAAAAGGGGTCAGAAAATCATTCTGACACCTAGACTAATACTTGAAGCTTTGCTTACCTACCATTTCTCGCTCTAGTCTAATTTGAGTGTCATGCCCAGTTTAATATCGTTTCTTTCATGTGCCCATTCTAATTAGCGAGAATTATCCACAAAGCATCCCGAAGGAAAAACAAGTCCTAGAGAATGAATGCTTTGTTATTCTTCCAGCAACTTATAGGTGCTTGGTTTGGTGTTATGTTGAATGCTTCATCACTGATGGAGTGTTTCTGGTGGCTTTGAGGATGATCTATTAAGGTGTTTCTTGCGGTTGTCGATATTCTTTTAGCAGCTGTTGAAAGGCTTCATGCGACTGTTGAAGTTATGAGTTAACGTTAAAAAAGGCTTGGCATGGAAGCTTGAATTGCGGGAGCTATAAATCCACAAAGTTTAGCAAATGAAAGTGCATGAGCCGTTTTGGTGTAGTGGCTGGTTGGGTTTTCTCGTGAAATGAGAAAGCTTAAACCTGGATTCTACGGTTTGCTGGAAGGTTTGCAGTCGTCAAGAAAAGTTTCTACTGCAGGGATAAAGAATTCCTGCAGCAGGAAAAAAGCATTCCTATAACAAAATAAAGATGGTCTTCTCTAAGCATAAGGTTGAAATGGCGTGTTGGAGAAGGTTTGGTCTGTAGATTTGATATTTTTGTAGTAGATGAAGGAAAACATTGGAGTGAGGAGAGTGGGAAACTTAGGGTTAAGGTTAGGCCTGCAGCTAAGACAATGTGTATCCCCTACTTGCAATTGAGCATGATCTCCTCGTTTGCTTCTGATCCTTGCTCTGTTTTAACAAAGGATGAAGGCTCTTTTTTGTTTCTCTTGGGTAGAAAGTTGTGTTGGAAACTACTTGTTCCAGCAAGTAAATGGATGGCTTAGAACCTCTATATGTCCTATGGATAATAAGGGATGCTGAAAATATATTATTTCCAACGGTTAAAAAGTGGAACAGAATTTATTTAGCAACCTATAGACCAAAAGTTGAGATGGCTTTGCAGTAGGAATATGCTCATGGGTAACGTATGTCTAGTGCAGTAACATGATGAAATAGCTTGGTGCAAGATTAAGTTTCTTGGGAAGATAAGTTGTAGTGGAGTGGGGGCCAATGACAGTGCACGACTAAAATAACATGTAGGAAAATATGTCATTTGCTTACCCAGCATGGGATCACTCTAAGTTGGGATTGGACTTTGGTACTCCCAAGTATGCCAATGTCTCCAGTATCAAAGAGTTTCCCATGCGTCTTGTGGACCTCCGTAACCTTCCACATCTCAACCCCTCAAGCAAGCCCCATTAAACTACATATCTTGGGTTCCATATGAGTTTGGTAGGTGTTGTGTTTAAAAGAATGTGCATAATCTAGCATGATATATTTTTTGGTTGGCGTGACATGATAATTAATTAAATCCTTGCTTAACTACTACTTTTTTAGATAAATATGTATAATATAAATATGATTATCACGAAATTGTATGACTGTGTATTAAAAAAAAAAAAATTGTATGACAGTATAAAGCTTTTGGGCCTTCAATCCTCTTGAGCCTTGCTTGAAATCTTTGGATCCTAATAATAACCAAATAAATGAAAAAGCAGATGGGTTCTATTAGTTTTGGGTATGACACGTGAAAAATGAAGATATGTTTATCACATGCGTATTCATTTTCTTTCATTTTTTATTTCATAACTGTTCCCTCTCGTGTCCATACCATGTAAGTAAGCATGCTCCCAAAACAGTTAACGATGTTTGAAAAAAAAAATTGTCAAGACACAAAAATTAATGGGTAATGCTAGGGAAACCAAAATTTTAAACCAAATTTGTAAACCAAATGATGTGTCACTAATGAGAAATAAGTATGTTAATCGACATTTAATTAATAATCAAATCATCTATCATTTGGTTTAAAAAATTTGGCCTCCTAGCATTACCCAAATTTAATAGGTCCCGTATCAAGTTTCTTGAAAATAAAAAAGCTAAATATAATAGTATATTAATCATGTAAACTTTTCTTGTACATAATCAGTTATGCTTGATGTTACTTAACTAGAAACGCAAAGACAAGATGCTAGGTTAGGTAGCCTATGCAAAACAAGATGCTAGGTTATAACTTACTAGCCCTTCATGCACGTGCGTAATGCTAGGTTAGGTAGCCTATGCAAAACAAGATGTTAGGTTAGAACTTACTAGCCTTCATGCACGCTGTAACATCCCGTCCCGAGATTATTGAAACGTACATGCGAAATGACCCTTTTACCCCTAGTTTGTTTTCGTTATGTTGTTTGGTTGTTTGTGTGGTGTTGGCATGTGTTGGGCCACACACACACACACTGTCACTCTCCCTCTCCCTCTGTCTTTTCCCTGTCTCTCCCCGTGCTCTCATTCCTTCTTCTTCTTCCTTCGAACGTACGGACACCACACCAAACCCATCAAACCTTAGCAGATCGAGGGAACCAAGGACACTGTCGAACTCGTGAGGTTGAGAGGAGCACGATCGTACCATTTTTAGGTAAGAACTCCGACGTTTTCACGTCGATTTCACAAGCTCCGATTTGAGTACTATTCATGCAAATTTAATCTAGCACATTTTTGGGATTTTGAAGCTCGTAGGTGACTTGGTGAGGTCCCAAGGAGCCTCGGTGTGCTTCGTTTGACAAATTTGGACGTCGGGATCGCCTGGTTCGAAGTTGGCCGGTTTTGGTTAGTTTGCACAGGTATGATCGCGTGGTTTTTAGCCTTTAAAAGTAGTATATCGTTGTTCTACTAGTTCTAGGCTTCAATTTGGTGTAAAAATCGTGGAAATTGGTTGAGAAATGAGTGAGAAAACGAAGTTAGAAGATTTTTCCAGTTTCCGGCGCCGACGACGTCGCCGGAGGCTCGCCGGAGAAGGTGACGGAATATTCCGTCAAATCTGACGGAATATTCCTGACGCCGTTGACGGAATCCGTTAGAACTAACGGAATATTCCTCACGGAGTCAGTTGACGCCGTCAGCGTGCCAGGCACGTGCGGCGGAGGAAAATTTTTCTAAAAATATGGGTGTGATCCTGAGGTTGTGTAGAGCATGTTGGTATATTCATTTGTCCAATTTGAGCAATGTATGAGAAGTTATTACGAGAAGTTGGTTATGTGCTTTAAAATTGACGTTTTTATAGTTGTTTCGCATATAGGTGATACGTACCCCGAGGACGAGCGTGGTCACTCGAGGCAGGGGGGCTATGACCCTTCCACTTACCAGTGAGTGGGCTTTTGTTTTCCGTATATACCTATATACAATTATTTTCCCCAGAAATTGAGTAAAAAGGGTTATTTGTCTTATGCCATGCATATTGTTATTATTGATTTTGCACCCTTAGCCGCATTATTAGTTGCATACACATACATATGCATATTGGGTGCTGTGGACGCACAGGTAAGTGCCAGGTAAGTGTTATTCACGTTTATATTTCAGTAGTGGTTTGAGATGCTTAGAGAGCTCATAACCTGCACCCCCGGTGTTAGTGCTCCCGCCCAGAGTAGGGCACAGTCCTTCACGTGATGTTCACCTCCCGCACCACACGCTCAGCTTGGATCTAAGTTAGGTGCACAGTCCTGTCGTACAGACCACTT